TGCTTTTAACATTTTCTAAATTTCCTATAATGAGTAGATATCTTTGTGAAACAAAACAAAACTACAAAATCAGGAGCTGCTAAAAGGCTGGTGAACCTCAAAGCCCAGAGAATCAAATCAAAGAAATTTCATCTAATGCTTCAGTCAGAAGCTAAGGACTTCTGCTTGTAGGGTTTTTGTTTGGTTATCATGAAACCAATATGGAGAAAAGAAGTTGAAAAAAATCTAGTTAGACATGAACATAAGACAGTATTAATGTAATAACTCACTATCGTCAAGTCAATTTGATTCATAGTGACCCCTCGAGTTTCCGAGGTGATATCTCTACAGAAGTTGCTGTTGTTACGTGCTGTTGAGTTGGATCCGACTCATACTGACCCCTATCATTACTGAAGTAGATCATTACGGAAGTAGATTGCCCAACCTTCCTTCCGAGGAGTGGCTGGGGGGTTTGAACTGCCAGCCTCCTGGTTAGCAGTCAAGTGCCTTAGGCAGTACACTACCAGAGCTCCTTCTATGGAAGTAGATCGCCCAGTCTTTCTTCTGAGGGAGGTGAGTTTGAACTTCTAGCCTAGTAGTCAAATGCCTTAGGCACTATGCCACCAGAGCTCCCATAATGTTAACAGAGTATTTAATTAGCAAAAATAAATTTAAAATTTTAAGAGCTAATCCACCAGCCACTCCTCAGAAGGAGGGTTGGACAATCTACTTCCGTAATGATACAGCCTTGGAAACCCAAGGAGGGGTCGCTATGAGTCGGGTCCAACTTGACAGCACGTAACAACTACAACAATATGCAAATAGAAATGGCAAGACAGTATATGTATTCTTATACATATATTCTTAGTAGTAATGCATACTAGCACAATCCTTTTTGAAAACAATTTAGTAATATGGATGAAGAACCATAAAATGGACTGTCACTGTGGAAAAGTTTGGCAGTTTCTTAAAAATCTGAGCATACAACTGAGATACTAGTGGTTCAGTGGTAGACTTCTTGCCCAACCAATGTACCTCAAGTACAACCACCACCCTTTTGTCAGTGAAGTTTTGGGTGTTGCTATCATGCTGAACAGATTGCAGCAGAGTTTCAAGACTATGGCTAGAAAGAAAGGCTTGGCAATCTACTTTTGAAAATGACCCAATCAAAACCCTGTGGATCTCAAGGTCTGACCCATGAGTGATTATGGGGATGGAACAGGACTGGGCAGTATTTCGATCCATTGTGCATGGGTCACCATAGGTTGGGGGCAACTTGACAGGGCAGCAGCTAACAAGAAGCATACAACTAGCATATGACCAGCAGTCTTAGAGAAATGAAAACCTATGCTTGCACAAAATCTGTACATGGATATTCATAGCAACTTTATTCATAATAGTAAAATACTAGAAGCAGAGATAGCCTTCAAAGAGTGAATGGTTAAACTGTGGTATATACATACTATGGATACTCAGCATTGAAAAAGGAATGAACTACTGATACAAACAACAACTTGGAAAATCTCCAGAGAATTAGGCTGAGTGAAAAAAGCTACCCCAAGGAGTCGCATACCATATGAGTCCATTTATATAATAACATTCTTAAGATAACAAAATTATAGACATGGAGAACAAATTAGTGTTTGTTAGGGGAGAAGAGAGAAAGGGCAACTGGAAGGATCCTTGTGATGATGGAACTGTTTCGTATCTTGACAATGTCCTATTCTCATTGTGAGATAACCCACTCCCATGGAGTCAATTCTGATTTATAGTGACTCTTAGGACAAAGTAGAACTGTCCCATAGCGTTTCCACCGCTGTAATCTTTACAGAAACACAATCTCATCTTTCTCCCACGGAACAGTTCATGGATTAGAATCACCAACCTTTTGCTTAGTGGCCCTAACCACTGTGCCACCAGAGCTCTGAGAGTGTACCATAGTTTTGTAAAATACTACCATTGTGGGAATCTAAGTAAACACTACTTGGGGTCTCTTTGCATTATTTTTTACAACTGCGAGTGTATCTACAATTATCTCAAAATAAAAAGTTTATTTTTTAAAATATGCAGATGCTCTTTAGGCCAGTTATTCCAAGTCTGGGCATTTGTCCTAGGGAATTATGCAAAAGAAGAAAAAACATTAAATGAATCATGTTCACTGTAGAGTTATTTACAACAGAGGGGGAAAAAAAACAACTAAATGTCCAAACAACAGGGAAATAGGTAAATCGTGATAAATCTACCATAGTTTCCTAGAGCTGCTGTAACAGAAATACCACAAGTGGGTGGCTTTAAATAACAGAAATTTGTTTTTGTTACAATATAGGAAGCTAGATGGGCTCTGGTAGCATAGTGTCTAAGGCACTTGACTGCTAACCAGAAGGCTGGCGGTTCAAACCCACCTGCTACTCCTTGGGAGGAAGGTTGGACAATCTACTTCCATAGTGATACCGCCTCAGAAACCCAAGGAGGGGTCGCTATGAGTCAGGTCTGACTTGGCAGCACATAACAATAAGAAGACGGGCTCTCTGGTGGCGTAGTGCCTCAGGCATTTGACTACTAACCAGACTGGCAGTACAAACTCACCAGCCACTCCTTGGAAGGAAGACTGAGCATACTTAGGTCGAGATACTGCCTCGGAGGGGTCACTATGAGTCGCAATGAGTTTGTTTTTTTGGTTTAGGAGGCTAGAAGATCAAAGTCAGGGCCCTCTCTCTGTGGAGTCTGTAGTGAAGATCCTTGCTTTAGCTTTTGTAGCCCTGCTGCTCCTCAGCAATCTCCATATGGCATCTATCTTTCCCAGATGTGCTCCTTTGCTTCTGTGTCTATTCTGCTCTTTTTTATTACGCAGAAGTGATTGGGTTTAGGACACACCCTATATTGATAATGGACTAATTAACATAACAAAGAAAGCTTTATTTCCAGACAGAATTACATCCACAGGTATACTTCCTCCTATCAATAGCGCCTAGAGCAATTGGTTTCATATTGTTGAATGGTCTCCCACAGCTGGCTATGGAAACACAATGGCCAAAAGAAACTGCTCATTGGTATCATCCCCCCCAAGCCCCAGTGGCCCCCAGGGGACGTGCCATACCTGCCATACTTGCCAAACTTTAGACAGCCTCTGCAGTTACAGGGATTAGGATCCCAACATGTATTTTGTGGGGACACAATTCAATCATGTAACAGAGAATCATTCATTTGGATACAGCAACAAAGAAACGTTATTTGAAAATCGATACAAAATTATGACACAACAGGCAAGGCTCTGGTGAGGGTACTGGAATATATTACCAAATTTTTAATAGTCTATTCTATAGAGATGTCTCTACAAGTCAGAATCCACTCCTCATAGTAGGGTTTTTGTTGTTGTTGTTGTTGTTACGGTGGAATTCTAGCAGAAATGTTTGCTTTACTTTTTTCGTAATCTTGTTGAATTGTTTTATATGGTGTGTAGTGGGAGGGTAACATTAAAGAACATTTCTTAAAAATTATAAACGTCAAGATGAATGTGGAATACAATACACTGAGTGAAATAAGTCAATCACAGAATATTGTATTAGTCCATTATTGTAAAAAGTCAGGGAAAGATTTATGTATGGAAGGAAACTTTCTTTGTTGGTTACCAGGGGTGGAAGGCGAGAATGGCCAGACTTAGTTTCACCTACTTTGGTCATGCTGTCAGAAGGGACCATTCCTTGGAGAAGGATATCATGCTTGGTAAAGTGGAGGGTCAGCAAAAAAGGGGAAAGCCCTCAAGGAGATGGATTGACACAGTGGCTGCAACGATGGGCTCAAGTATAGCAGGGATTGTGAGGCTGGTGTAGGTCCTGGAGGTGTTTCCTTCTGTTGTACATAAGGTCGCTGTGAGTCAAAGCCCACTCAACAAGGGGTGGGAGGGAAGGGAAGGAAACATTGCAAAAATTTTTAAAAAGAAAAATTACAAACGTCAAAGTCACAATAAAAAGTTATTTAAATTCGCCTCCCCGGCAAACTTAATTTTTCAGGTTCCTTCCAGGCTTTAACTAAGAGCGCACACACGGGCCCCGACAGTCAGTGAGCTCAGCGTGGGTGAGACTAACACCAGTTTCGTCCGCTGTAGCAGCTCCAGCACTGCCCCGGCAGTGCCACACTAGGACCCCACCAGCTCAAGAACGGGACCTCCAAGGAAGAGCGAGGCCACTACCCGAAGGTACAGTGACCACTCCAAGGTCACTATCGAGAGTCTACAGCCGCTACTGCCGCAACCAAGTCTCGGCCCTGGCCCAAGGCTTCTCGAATCTGAGTCCAGGTCTCGCTCTCTGCCCCGCGCTCTATCTGAGCTGCGACCCCACAGGTCCCAGAAGCTCCACCGAAGCGAATCCCTACGTTGCGCCCTGGTGGCTGCTAAGGCCCCCAGACTCTGAGCTCAGCGTCTCTACTCCCAGTCTGGGGCTAGACCCCCGAGCGCAGTACCAAACCGTAACCTAGACCAATCCCCTCATCCTTTTTCGCCCTCTCAACCCAGCTTTTCCCGACTCCGGGAAGAACCGGGAAGAGAAGGCGGAGGGGAACGAGGCGCCGCTTGATAAATACTGTGGCCCGGCCCCGCCCACCGAACCTCACTTCCTCCCCGCGGCAAAATGGCGGCGCCCAGGCCCTGCCACGCAGACTTCCGCCTATCGCGGAGACTGAGTGCCAGCTGCAGGTGGGGTCGGGGGTGAAGTAGTGACGTGCGTGGTGTAGAGTCGCAGTCTAGGTGCACCGCGTGCTCTGGGTGCGTCGTGCCTAGCCGGAGGGCTTGGGGAGAAGGGCGAGGGGCAGCGGACTAGGGTCGCGAGGTATGCCTCAAGCCGGGTGGTCTGGGGCGCCTTGCCACGTGGGAGGGGGAGGAGCTGAGAGTCGAGGAGAGAGGCAACAGTTTGGTGGGGGTGGGGGTGGGGGTGGAAGGCCACGTGGGTGGGGTTACGCCCAGGGTTCGCGCGTTCGGCCCGTGAAATGATTTTGTTACCCCTTTTCCCCTTTTTTTCCCAGGTATCATGTCGGAAGAAAATGCTGCGGGCGAGCCCAGCATCCCGGGAGGGTCCCGACCCCTCCTCCCTGGAGCCCGGGGGCTTATCGGAAGGAGGCCAGCACCCCCCCTCACCCCTGGTCGCCTTCCGTCGGTCCGCTCCAGAGACCTCACCCTCGGTGGAGTCAAGAAGGTAGCCTTTCTAAAGAAACCCAGTGGAATTCCAGGCTCTTGGGAGTCGACTGGGTTGGTGGTGTGGTACCTAAGGCATTTGAGTGCTAATGAGAAGGCTGGCAGTTCAAGCCCACTAGCCACTCCTGGGTAATCTACTTCAGGAGTAATGCCGCCTCGGAAACCCTAGGGGGGTCGCAGTGAGTCAGATCCCACTCGATGGCAGTGAGTTTTTTTTTTTTTTTTTGGTTTTGGGATTCAACTAATACTGACGTAGGACCTATTTTATGCCAGGCATTGTGTGGAGCCCCTCTTGAACCTTGTGTCCCTCTTTAAATTCTGGAAATGTTGGCAAAGTTTCAAGTCTAGGTGCAAGATGGTATCCCAGGAGCGGCAGAAGGATAGAGAATCCTAATTAGTTCAAGATGTTCCCAAGCAACTTGCACGGTGTTTCTTTATTTTATGTGTTTGGGATGCCTTTAAGAAACCCATGAAAGCCACACAGGCATAAACATTTGCTTGTAGTTTTAGTGGATTCGAATTCTACATGGATCTGAGTGTGCAATCCTCTGATCTATCACCTTGTGAATCAAGACATTGCATTAGAGTCTTTATCTCATCCCGTTATGTTTGTGCCTGTAGATGTAAGGGGTGGCCCAGAAGAGGGGTAAAAATGCCAGAAACAAAACAGCAAGTTTTTAAGAACTTAATTTTGCCTTGGGAAATTCTGGTGTCAGTCTCACTGTATCCTCTTAGTGCTGGCAGATCTGTTTTTCCTACTTGAGCTTTGCTCTTAGAGTTGCTTTCTTCTGATACTGATTGGTCTTTAGAGTGATTTGAAGACAAGGTGAGATCAGAAAAATTCTTTTGCATATAGAAAGCTGGGAAGCTCTCTTTTGGATGGCAGAAGCCGAGGCTGCTTGTTCAAATGGATTTTGGTGTCCCAGTCTTCTCTTGTATAACTCATTGCCACCACAGCACGACTTTCCTCATTTTCATGTCCTTTGTCTACTTCTAAATATCTGACAACAGTATCAAGCGTGTGGAAAACAGCTAGGATGAGTTTGCTCTTTAGAAAATGCCTTTTGTGAGTTTTTGTTCTCCCCTATATTTTGGGCTCAAAGTTCAAGCTCACTACCGTGGAGTCAGACTTGACTCATAGCGACCCCTCCTTAGGTTTCCGAGGCGGTATCACTACAGAAGTAGATTGCCCAACCTTCCTTCCGAGGAGTGGCTGGTGGATTTGAACTGCCAGCCTTCTGGTTAGCGGTCAAATGCTTTAGGCACTACACTACCAGAGCTCCTCATTTTGGGGTCAGAACCTACCAAATCAGTGACTCCTGTATTTTACTTTCAGAAAACCTTCACCCCAAACATCATCAGTCGGAAGATCAAGGAAGAGTAAGTAGCTAGCCCTCTGTATACCTGCCCCTTGTTTACTTGCTCTAAATTTGGGGCTTTACTTTGTGTGTTTGGTATACACAAATATATGTGGCTCAGAAATTTAAACTTGTATGTTTAGTTATTTTCACTAGTGATTTTCAACCCTGGCTCCCGGGATTCCATCCTTAGAAATTATCATTTAACTTTTTTCCAGTGGAATAGAATGATTTTCTTATATAGGCAGTGTTAAGAGCCAATAGCTTAGCTAAAGATGTATTGTTTTTTTCTCAAGTTGCTTTACATTACAGCCTCCCTGTTTTCAGTTAGTGCAAAAAAAAAAAAAAAAATCTATGTGTTTGGGCAATCTCTATAGTTGCAACTTTTGAGTTCTGACATACACTCTTAAGCAAAAAGATAAAGTAAACTTGAGGAAGAGACCCCAAGACAGTGAAAAAGGTATTGGGATTGATTTCTGTTTTTCCTCATTATGTAACTATTGGCTCATAAACTCTCTGCTCAGTTGGAGTGGTGTGGTGTGGGAAAGTAAGACAAGTTCTTTTTCAGGCCTAAGGAAGAAGTAACTGTCAAGAAGGAGAAGCGTGAGAGGGATAGAGACCGACAACGAGAAGGTCATGGACGTGGCCGGGGTCGCCCAGAAGTGATCCAGTCCCACTCCATCTTTGAGCAGGGCCCAGCTGAAATGATGAAGAAAAAAGGTACAAGGCTGCTGGGGCTCCAAGAGGAAAGAATCATACTGCCTGAGAGAAGGGCAAGGGCAATGGAATCCCCCCACCGCCAGTTTGGTTTTCCTTGCTAGTAGCCTCTTCCTTATCCTTAGTGACTTGGGTGATTTCCCATAGGGAACTGGGATAAGACAGTGGATATATCAGACATGGGGCCCTCCCATATCATCAACATCAAAAAAGAGAAGAGGGAGACGGATGAAGAAACAAAACAGATCCTGCGCATGCTGGAGAAGGATGATGTAGGTACCAGAAGTCTGGGGAGAGGGGGCTTTGTTGTGGCTGTGGGAAAGGGTTTCTGAGGAGCCAAGGTCAGGAAAAGAAGAGCTTTCTGATGTCCTGGAATCCTGTTGAGCAGCAGAAATCTTTGGTTAGAAAGAGACTCAGAAGGTCTTGAATACAGGTACTTATGGTGGCTAGACTATGTGACCCTTCTGACTCTGGCAGTTCATCGATGACCCTGGGCTGAGGAATGATACTCGAAACATGCCTGTGCAACTGCCTCTGGCTCACTCTGGATGGCTGTTTAAGGAAGAGAATGAAGAACCAGATGTTAAACCTTGGCTGGCTGGCTCCAAGGAAGAGGACATGGAAGTAGATGTGCCTGTTGTGAAAGGTATTTTCTCCTTTTGTGTAGTTCCTTCCCCAACCACCACCATGCCTCAAAAATAAATCCCTTATCCAGAGCCTCCCAGACTACTGCTAATAAGCAGGTCCTTTTCTGTTCTAGCTGTAAAATACATGACCTGAAAAAAGATGCTAAATTCTTACTCTCAGATGGTTCAGGTGCTGACATGGCTCAGTGGGCCAGCATCAGATATCCCTTTTTAGACGAATCACATCCTGTTTAGTGTACTGTCTCTTGTTCCTCTGTATAACCAGTATCTTTCTCCAGTTTTCTGGCTGAGTGACAGTAGAGCACATGAGTGCAAAGGGATGGATACAGTGAGATGATGTAGAGGGTGGACACATGATAGCCCTTCTATTTGTATTACCCTGAGCAGTGAAAGAGGAGCCACGAGATGAGGAGGAGGAGGCCAAGATGAAGGCTCCCTCCAAAGCAGCCAAGAAGACCCCAGGCCTCCCAAAGGACATATCTGTGGCAGAGCTGCTCAGAGAGTTGAGCCTCACCAAGGAAGAAGAACTACTGTTCCTCCAGTTGCCAGACACCCTACCTGGCCAGCCACCCACTCAGGACATCAAGCCTATCAAGACAGAAGTACAAGGCGAGGATGGGCAGATGGTGGTTATAAAGCAGGAGAAAGATCGGGTATGATCAGGAATGAGTTCTGTGAAAATGTGCAGAACCAGGAAGGGTAACAGTGACCTGTAGAGGGAAGCAATGCTGTGTCACCCAAGCTGAAAGGAAAGAATAATGGGCACTTATACTTTGTACCTGAAAGGGGCTTAGGGCTTTTGTACCTTCAACCCCAGTTTTGTATGCATTTACTTTTTATAATGAAAAACTTTGAATCTATACAAAGGAGAGAGCATAAACTCCCTTGTACCATCACCCAACTTCAGCAGCTGTCAATGTTTTGTACGTGTATTGATTTCTTTTTTCTGTTTTGGGTTTTATTATTAAATCAATGGCTGTTAGCCTAAGGAAAGGACCATCTTTGGGGAGCTCAGTCTAATCTTTGATGCCTGATGACATTCTTTGGGAGGTAGAATAAAGGTCATCTAGCTTTTCACATCTTACTCTCTTTATAGGAAGCCAGGCTGGCAGAGAATACCTGTACCCTCAGTGACCTGACAGAGGGCCAGGTTGGCAAACTGCTCATCCGCAAGTCAGGAAAGGTGCAGCTCCTCCTGGGCAAGGTGACTCTGGATGTGACGATGGGAACTTCTTGCTCTTTCCTGCAGGTTAGTGCCCTTTGGGTTAGGGTAGAGACTCTTCAAGAAATTAAAAAATTGATTCAGGGAGTAGGATTCTTGGGATTATTAAAATTCATAGGACTTAGTAGTGGGTGGTATGTGGTTTTGGTTCTCATCATTGTCTCTGTCGATTGGCAGGAGCTGGTGTCCGTGGGCCTTGGAGATAGTAGGACAGGTGATATGACAGTCCTGGGACATGTGAAACACAAACTTGTATGTTCTCCTGATTTTGAATCCCTTTTGGATCACAAACACCGATAAAATAAGCAGATGGAGGATGACGGCGACTGCCCACGGCTGCTGACTGCTCCAGACGTTTTGTTCTCAAATCTGTGAGACCCAGAAGGGGCCTGTTTAGCCCACCCACTCTAGCCTTTGGCAACCATTGTCCCGGTTATCGCCATAGGGCCCACTTGCCAAGTGGCTTCCTCCCACAGCAGCTGTGAGTGGAACAGTAACCTACCCACACTATAGGTACTGCATAACCCACTGCTGGGGGACTTACCCCTTTTATTTATTTTTATATTTATGTCTTACCTCTTAAACTGACTACATCCTCCTAAAGCAGAGAGAGGAAGGCCTGTAGAAAAGTTTGGGCTGTTTCTCTTGGTGACCCTTTTGGTTCTTAGGGTAGGAAGTATAAGGACCATTGCTTCTGCTTTTGCTGCCTCCTTCCTCCAGAGGCACAATGCAGTAGAGAACAGGGAGTTTTTGAGATTGAGACTTAGTGCTCAGATCCAGCTCGACCAGTTACAACTTGTGTGACCTTGGACAAACTACCTAACCTTTCTGAGCCTCATATTCCTCACCTGACAAAAATGGGGATAATACCTACCTCACAGGGTTGGTGTGAGGATTAAATGGAATAGTGTAGATGAAAACTCCTTGCACAAGGCCAGACTATATATACACAGTAGGCACTCAATAAATGTTAGTTTCCCTTCTCTTTGCCTAAGTCTGTTTTCTTTTTTTTTTGTGCATCAAGACTTTATTAACAAAATAAAGAGACAGCCTACAGATTGAGAGAAAATATTTGGGAACCATATATAGCTGATAAGTGTTTAATATCCAGAATACATGAAAAGCAACTACAACTGAATAACATAAAGACAAAGAACTCAATCAAATGATGAGCAAAAGATTTGAATAGACATCTCACCTAAGAAGATAAATGGCCAATGAGCAAATGAAAAGATATTCAATATCACCAATCATCAGGAAAATGCGTATCAAAACCACAGTGATACACTTCACCCTCACTATGATCAGAAAATAACAAGTATTGGGAAGAATGTAAAGGAATTGGATTTCTCATCCACCACTTGGGAGGGAATGTAAAACAGTGTAGCCACTGCAGAAAATTTTGTCAGTTCCTCAAATAGTTGAACATAGAATTACCAAATGACTCAGCAATTCTACTCTTAGGCATATATCCAAAAGAACTGCAAATAAGAGACTCAAACAGATACTGGTACATCATTATTGTAACATTACTCACAATAGTTATTCACCAATAGGTAGAAACAACATCAACAGGTGAATGGATAAATAAAGTGTGGTATATACATACAATGGAATATTATTCAGCCATAAAGAGAAATGCAGTTTTTTTTCCCCCTCCATGGGTCAATGCTTTTTTTTTTTTTTTCCAATGTTCTCTCCCTTCCGCTCCCATCCCTGGTAACCAACAAAAAAGTTTCCCTCCATATATAAACCTTTCCTTGACCCTCCACAACAATGAACTAATACTATATTTGTCTTTCTGTGATTGACTTATCTTACTCAGCATAATGTCCTCCAAGTTCATCCATATTATGTGGTGTTTTGCAGACTCTACATTATTTAGTGCTGCATAGCATTCCATTATGTGTATGTACCATAGTTTGGTCAACTACTCTTCCACTGATGGTCACGTAGGTTGTTTCCATCTTTTTGGTATTGTAAATAGTGCTGTGAGGAACATGAGTGTGTATATTTCTGTTCCTGCCCTGGTTCTCACCTCTAGGATATACACCTAGGAATGGGATTGCTGGGTCAAATGGTATCTCCAATTCCAGCTTTCTAAGGAATCTCCATATTGCTTTCCACAGTGGTTGTATCACTTCAAAGTCCCACCAGCAGTGTATGAGAGTCCCAATCTCTCTTCCTCCCCACCAGCATTTGTTATTTTCTGTCTTATTGAACCTTGACATCTGTGCTGGGGTGAGACAGTATCTCGTTCTGATTTGCTTCTCTCTGATGGTCAATGATTGTGAGCATCTCTTCAGCCCACTACCTGAATATCCTCCTTGGTGAATGTGTCTATTCATGCTTCTGCCCATTTTTCAATTGGATTGTTAATTCCTTTGGTGTTGAGGTGTTGGAGTTTTCTATAAATCTTAAGAGATACTCCCTTGCCAGATATGTAATATGAATTTGTTGCTGTCACTTTTGTTAATGTGCTTTTTTGTGGTGTTGATTTTTTTGTTCCATGTAATTTTCTGTGCTGAGCTCATTTTGTTTATGAGTCGTGTTATCACTTCCTTCATCTTTATTTTAGTTTTTGCTAAATATTTGTGCTGGTCCTCTATTTTATTTTGATGTGAAGTTTACCATTTTTCTTTGAGGTTACCCTGTGATTTATAGTTTTCTTCCCAAGTTTAGAACAGTCCATTCTATCTTGTAGATGTCTTGACATCCCTACATCTAAAAGTTCTGTAACAACACAGTTTTTTCTTTTTGGTTTGTAGTTGTCCTCATTTGTCAATTGATGTATCTGGTTTCCTGTTTACAATCTGGTAGGCTTATTTACTTTGGATACTTCCTTAGCTGGGTTGGTTTCTGGATTATATCGTCATGTGTGTTAATGATCAGTTGTTGTTGGTTGTTGTTGCTTCTGTGTCCAAAGGGTTCTCTTTAGTTCTCTTGTAAGGTTGGTCTGGTTTTAACAGATTCCCTTAATTTCTGCTTATCTGGAAATGTCCTAATTTCACTATCATATTTGAGGGACAGTTTTGCTGGGTACATAATTCTTGGTTGGAAATTTTTCTCTTTCAGTGTTTATATATACCATCCCATTGTCTTCTCACCTGCATGGTTTCTGCCGAGAAATCCAAGCTTAGTCTTATTAGTTGCCCCTTGTAGATAACTTTTTGTTTTTCCCGTACTGCTCTCACAATTCTTTCTTTGGTTTTGCTGAGTTTTTTTGGGGGGGTCTGTCCTGTTTGGGGTTTGTTGGACTTCCTGAATATATATTCTCATCTTTCATCATATCAGGGAAGTTCCCTTCCAACAAATCTTGGACAATTTTCTCAGTGTTTTTTTTTTTTTCTCTTCCTGTTCTGGAATTCCAATGACACGTAGATTATTCCATTTGATGGTATCCCACATGAACCTTAGGCTTTCTTCATTTTGTGTTGGTCTTTTTTTCTGATTGATCCCTTTGCAAAGAAGTATTCAGGTATTTGTCTTCAATCTCATTAATTCTGTCTTCCATTGCATTAGTTCTACTCCTTTGCCCTTCAATGTGTTATCCATTTCTGACAATTTAGTGTTAATCTTCTGGATTTCTATCCATAGATTTAGAATCATTTCTAATTTTTCATTTATTTTGTCATTTTGTTCTTGTATTTTCTTCTGAAATTCTTCTAGGGTTTTGTCTGCATTTTCCTTATCTGTCTCTCAATCCTTTGAAGATACCTAAATATATTCTTTTGAATTCCTTATCGGGGAGTTCCAATGCTGTGTGTCTTCCTCAAGGATGTGTTTTGAGTCTGTATCCTTGTCCCTTGTTTCTCCTGGTTTATCTTGCTTCTTTGTGTGGACTGTGATGCTCTGTTGTCTCTGAGGCATTGTGACGTTTTTGTGTTTATATTTAATTGGTGATTGTATTTTGGAGTGACTTGCCCATGATTTTTGTTTTCTTTGTATGTTATCTACGCAAGCAGGGTACTGTGCTATGCTCCTCTGTTCACTAGTTGATAGGACTTACACATTCACCACCTCTCTCCTTTTCTGTTGTCAGCCTCTCATATGTCCCTGCCAACCTTGGCACACACAACCTATTCTTAGGTCCCTGAAATCTGAATGAGAATGCTATCACTTTAAAATCCAAAATGGTTGCCACTTGTAAAGATTCAAAATGGCTGCGCCCTCAGTCACTTTAAATATCCAAAATGGCCACCGCTTATAGATATTCAAGTGGCTGTGCCCTCAAGCACTTTAAATATCCAAAATGGCCACAACATGTAAACAATCAAAATGGCTGCACCCTCTGGACAGTGGAAAGTCAATAGCTCAGGTTGTCTCCCTCCTTGCTGTTTCCCTTCCTAGTCATAGGCTACCAGCGCAGTCATCCCTGCAGCCCTTGGTGACCAGGGCTAATCTTTAGGTCAATTCTCAGGTCCCAACACCACTTGGAAATATTCAGGTTGTTGGTCCTGTCAGAGTAGCTGACAGTCTACAGCTCTGACCATCTCTGTGCTCACTGTTTTTGTTCATTTTTTTCCATTAGTTGGTGCCTAATCCATTTCTGTATAGTTCCTTTCAAAGCTCAGGGCTCCAAGATTATCTTTTGTATCTCTGTCAACTGGTTTTTCTTTAATTTGTTGAAGAGGGTCTGTGTTGCTTGTCTGCCTATTCCTCCATCTTACCATCATACTGGAAGTCTCGCCTGAGTCTATTTTCAAACATAATAGAGATTCCAAGAATTTCTCAAAATTGAATAGAGATGCTCAGTTACCCACTTTTGTCCCTCATTCTTCCCTGTGTCCTGTCCCCACTCTTGCCCTGACACTTTTAATGCTATTCTGTGCTCTCTATCCTGATCACTCAGCCAAGTGCTTCTTGTTCATTGGTATGAGGCACCAGCTTAGATTGTATTGAAAGTGAAGAATTCAGAGATGACTCCAAGCACCCTCCAAATGTCTTTGGGTGACATGATGTCTCCTGGCTTCCTTACCTCCCCCCACCCCATAAGCAGCCAGTACACTTCTAGCTCCTATTTAAATATTTCTTAAAGAGAAAGTCTTGACCACTCAAAGAATTATCATACTAAGTCAAATACTGTTAAAAAACTAAAGCCCTTGGTATGAAAAAGTAGGAATTTTTTTGATTAATGGCCTCTTTGACATTTGACAGTGACGTGTTACTTCAAAATCTTTTCTGATTATAGAGGACTATAGGAGAAAGGGTTCCTTGGAAACACGTACTCAAGGAAGCCCTGTTTGGTATAAGATACCTTAAATTATCCAACTGCTTTTTGTTCTCTGGATCCCCAGTGC